TCGAAATGGAAGTAATCCCAACAATTATGAAACAAGAGATTCCTCAAAACCCAACTTTTCTTCGTATATACTCAGTAATTCGGCCTTCTTCGACAGATTACAGTTAAAGAAGTTAACCGGAAACTACTTGTGGCTGTTGGAGATAGATAGATAGACAGAGAGAGAAAGAGAGGGGAAGGAACGAAAAGTACAAGCGAGTAAGAAGAGTGGGCTTGATTGGGCTGGCATTTCGTTTCTACACTCGCATCACCCTCATTGCAAGACCAATGCACTCACACAGCATGTGTACAATGGGACGCAATCACATGCGGCAAAATTGCGGGATCAAAGGCACACGTGTTGGAGGGGGGGATGCAGCGGTTCGGTTTTACTTGCACCCATTTCACACTTCATCCGTAGCCACTTCACATGTCATCCGCAGCCGCTTAGCTTAACTTTTGAGCAAGTGTAGAGGCAAAGCATAGGGCATCCACCCAAAACATGAGGTGCATAAGTGGACCAAATTGGAATATAAGAAAGAAGTCGGTTTGAAGCCGGCCACCTTTCTTGCCTTTGGGTTTTTGGTGAATTCTCCTTAGCCATAGAGGTTGTTTGACCTTGTTTTCGCAACATGGTCATATTGGTAGGAAGATTTAGAGGAACACACCTAGTCCGGAGTCCATTGTATGCATCATCATTTCCAAAGTTGAACTGTGGACGTGGTACATCGTCCGTAAGTATCGCCATTCTTAGCACGACACAACCACTCGTCAAAAGAGACAAGTGAAGCCGATCCTTTGACCAAAATTATGCTAAACAAATGTGCTATCTCCCCTTCTGCCCTGGGTTATTCGAGCTTCCGGTAGTTTCCTATCATGAAATAGGATAAGACTAGGAAAGAAAGCTGCATAATAATAAAGCAGACTCTGATCAACATTCCTTGCACAAGGATAAAAGGTGGGGGTGAGAACGACAGTTGGAGTGTGAAGGTTTCACATCACACTATCTAAATAAACACGGTAAATAATTGTAATAGTGAAGGCATGATAGGATGATACCGGATCCGCGAATAACCCAGGGCAGAAGGGGAGATACCACAATTGTTTTGCAGACATTTGGTCAAAGGATTGGCTTCACTTGTCTCTTTGACGAGTTGTTGTGTCGTGCTAAAAATGGCGATACTCACTGACGATGCCGGCGAAACGTTTGGGAATGTACCACGTCGACAGTTCAACTTTGGAAATGATGATGCATACAATGGACTCCGAACAAGATGCGTTCCTCTAAGTCTTCCTACCAAAATGAACATGTTGCGAAAACAAGGTCAAACAACTTGTATACAACGAAAGGAGACTGCGACCACACAAAAGGTCACACCATCTTGGTCTTCATACTCTCGTTAGCCATGTTGTCCTGCTCTGACGATGCCCGTCATATAACGGACGAACGGTCAGCAAGGGTCTTAGGGCGGTGTGCCGAGTACCTATTTGCACAAATCTACAACCACAGCTCCAGGACAAACCCCCACAACCTTCTGTGGAACCAACTTACGAATCCCTTCCACTCGCCTCTTCAAACGAAATGAAAGGTACTCCAACATGATGAAGAAAGTGATTGCTTGATTCCAGAAAAAGGCGACGATATCGTTTGACTTTAGTGGAGCCCCCCTTGGCCATGGAGAAAACGTGCTGAGCCCTCATTCGCCATATCGAATGACTGATATGGTCAGAGCAGCGACGCATTCTTGTGACAATTTCTGGCTCAACGACTTTTCTTGCCATATCAACTCATGGAACAACGCAAGATTTCTTTACGATATCGCGGAGTTTTATTATAATTAAAATCACTCTTTTATCACATAAATTCAGAATACTAATCAACTAAGCCTAGCCAATGCCTGGCATTGCAAACGCGTAATGTTGAGTCTATTGAGCCTTGATGACCTTAAGACAGCATTTGCTCTATTCTTACTCGGGACTATAACTTCAGTTTCGTATATCACCACACGAATTCATAAATTTCCACACACACACACACACACACACACACACACACGCAAATTTGCATATATAGATAGATATTGTAAGGAACGTTCAATATCGCCGTTCTATGAATATATGAACAAAGGGAAGTTAGGAATGCGTAGATACGATACGTAGCTGGTTTCCGATGCGTTTTAATGGGGACTTTAATTTCGAATAAAATTGCCTTATGAGAAAATTCGTTTGTTGATC